TTTTGCTGTTTTGATGTCTTGTTTGTCTTGTGCTTCTTGTCACCTACTAGCGATGGCCCCCAACCTGCCTTCGACGGCCTCTAACCTAAGAGCGAAGACCTCCAACTTTGACCGCTTTGCTGTCTTGTGGTTTCATGTCTCCAACCTACTAGCGATGGCCCCTCAACCTGCCTTCGACGGCCTCCAACCTAAGAGTGAAGACCTCCAACTTTGACCGCTTTGCTGTCTTGTGGTTTCGTGTTTCCAACCTACTAGCGATGGCCCCACAACCTGCCTTCGACGGCCTCCAACCTAAGAGCGGCGAAGACCTCCAACGTTGACCGCTTTGCTGTCTTGTGGTTTCTTGTCTCCAACCTACTAGTGATGGCCTCTCAACCTGCTTTCGTTGGCCTCTAACCTAAGAGCGATGACCCCCAACTTTACACCCTGTTTTACTCAGGTTTTTTTACCCTAGGCCGGCGTGTGGCACCGCATTCAGTTCAGTACACCATATCCTAAGTGTGTGTGTGTGTGTGTCACACCCAATTGAAACATGAAAGACATCTCATGCCCACTGAGATATCATCCATTGACATCTCCTTCTGGTTGCTACTGAAACCATCCAACTGAAACATCCAACTGGCTTCCTCATGCCTTGGCAAAGGTCTCCTTGATGAAAGCTGCTGGTGCACGCCGGAACTCCTGCAGCAAAGAGTGAAGGGCATGAAGATGGTAAGCCTCGCAGCCGAATCTGAACAGGTTGAGAACTATGTGAGGAAAGAATACTTTGAATTTAGTTTCCCCAAATATCTGGGAACCAAATCATTAATGCGAACGCTTCTTCATGGAAGCTCCCGCCCACCCTCAGTCTTGGGGAGCTTCCTTGAAGAAGCGTGAGCTATCCTGCATCCAGCTACTGGAAGCTAACTAGTAGCTAGTAGCTTGCTTCTCCCTTACTTGATTAAGTAGGAACAGGCTAAAGAACAAAACAAACATGTTAACATCTCAATCACATTCAAACACGTTCGCCTCGTCAGTGGAGTCTCCCGCGAGTTCATCCCAAAGTTCTTCTCCCCGGAGGCAGCGAGCCCACCTTGGAAAATCTGGGACCAGGCTGTGCACCAAGCACAAAATCAAAGAGTAAGTTCCGGCACAAACTGTGCTGGCGCAGTTTGAACCCCAAACATGCTGATGAGGTGCATCTGTTCTACCTCTTCTCGAGCGGCTTCTGACATCTGTTCCTCTGCCGGCCAGTTGCCGAGGACCGGGTCCAAGTCAATACCTGGAGGCTTGAGGAAGGCCGGCTCCATGCAGTGGCACTCATCAGTTTGTGCATACAGACATATATTAGCTATAGATATATGCAGAAAAATACACATGAATCTTCAACAATGATAGTGGTCGCACGTTTTTGTTGGAAGTGGGTTGACAAAGAGCAAACATTTCAAGTGACCAGGTTTATGGGAAGGAATTGGTAGCTAATATTCTGCACCCGTGCGCATGCTATCAAACCTTTTACACAAACGACTCCTGGTTCATCCGTTGTTGGGGACACGGAACCAGGCGTTGTCCGGGCCAAAGAGGCATGAGCAAAGGCACAACAAACAACAAGGCATAGCTGGGCCGACAATCGCGGCTCCATAAAAACTGAAAAGCAGGGCCATGGTTTGAATTGAACGCAATTGATTCGTACCGTATACGGTATGTATATATATATGAGATAGAGAGAGGGAGTTGTTTGAGAAACAACACGCCAAGCAAAGCCAAGCAGCGTCACCAACTACAGGCCATTGTCTGGGAAGTTGTTTCTTTGGCTCAGAACTCTATTTGGCCATTTTTGGAATCCAAACGCCGCCACGTGAAAACAAACAGGTGAAAACAAAAATGTTCTAACTTGTGCGATTTTTGGACGAAGACCATTCCGTGTTTGACAGTTTCAAGGTTTGGAAACATGATCTAAATCTACAATATCCATCCATGTTCTAATAGAAACATGTGAGCAACTGAGCGGTCACTCTTATTCAGTCTGCCCATTAAATGTCTTCACTCATATTGGGTGACTCCAGCGCTTCTTTGACGGCCCATGTTGTAGTTTCAGGCCGGTCTGCTTGGAAGATGACGATATTTGGGCAGCACAGTCTATTCATATCTATTCATAAGTAGACCTCGTTTGTGCGGCTGAAACACATCGAAACGATCGAAACACGTGTGTTGAAATGAATTCTGTTCAAACATATGCAGGTTCAAACGTGCTCGGCTCTCATATATAGGCTAAATGGAGGGTGTGGAGAAAGGGGGTCAGCAAAAATCGCTTATACGAAGTTAGTGCATCAAAAATACTTTCCACGAAGTTCTGCGAAGGTTTCTGGAATTTCGTTGCAGTCAGTTCTCCTACTGGCCCACCATTCCACGAACTGTCCACGAATAGCCTTGGGTTCTACGAATGTCCCACGCCTTCCACGATGTTAGTAGAATAGGTTTTTGCAAAACCCTTTCTGTGCACTACCCTTCCGTTTGCCTCTGAATATAGTTATATCTTTCAAGTATATACTATATATATACTATGTGCCGCTGATGCCAAGCCGTTTGGGGTCACTTGGGGTTCTCTTCCGCTTCGTCCTCGCCGGGCTGTCAGAGTCGACCTGAAAGGGTTTCGAATGTGTTTTGATCCCCGTTACTTGAACAAGAATAAGGTGCAAGCATGTTCCAAACACACCAATATGCTCACAAAAAAAATAATAATATATATATAATTATATATATATATATCCCCCTCACGTTCTCCATGAACTTGTATCAAATTGTCCAACTTCTGATCCTTTTGATGGCTTTTACTTATGCCGACTTGCTTTCCTTTGGTCAGCTCCTTTCCATATCCATATCCGCCATATCCATGCCTGCACCGGGGCTCCTTCAAGCCGTTCAAACTCTTCCTGCGATAGGCGCCGGGCCAGCGCCTACAGCGCCAAATGGTCACTAGGAGGGAGGCACCAGACCAGTTCTTCATGGAACTGGTGAAGTAGCGAAATCCTGTTGCATCCTGTTGCCATTGCTTTGACATCTGCAAGCCACGTCTATCACGCCTGATCTTCCAAGATCTGCTGAGCTTCATCAAGTAGGATCAGTTCAATGTCGCTCGACATCTCGCCATGTGGAATTTTAATCAGTAGGTTCAAAGTTGCGTCTTGAGTCTGTTGCCCTATCCGATGCTGCGCACTTCTGGTGAAAATCTGAACGTTTGACCCTGAAAAACTCACTAAAGGTGTTGTCTCAAACGCCATGGAACCAGCTCAAATTCTCTGGCCAAGTGGACGGCCACGTCCCATCGTTCTTATTGCAGTTAATCCACCTAGCTTGAACGCAACACTGTGCACAATTACAGGAATTCACATCTTGGCATGGAGAAGCTTTCTAAGGGCCGTCATCACTTGCTCTTTTATTCATACATGCTCATGCCTTGTCTACATGGAGCTGCAGCCACGAGAAGAGACAAGTTGGTTTTTGCAATGTTTGATACAGTATCCGATTATCCATTGCTACGCTGGCGGAACTTTGCTTCATTAGGCCAACCACACCACATACAGTATATAGATGTATATAGTATAGCGTCTTTGCATCGTACACATTTGCTGCTCACTACACTCTTGGACAGCATGCCGAGTTGTTTAGGGCACTACTTTGGCACCACAATTGGATACAATTGGGAAAAGGCTCTCACATTCTAAAGCAGCAGGGCCACAAGCTGCGCACCTTGCAAAGAAAGTCAAACACCCAGGAAAAGCAGCAAAACACATATTGACCTGCACAATTCCTTCCCAGCCGTGTGGACATGGCTGGGGCACTATCAGTCTGTCGACTAGGTGCACGTAATTGATCAAGTCAAGTCCTAGACTCCTAGACCTTCCTTTAAAGATCACCCGCCGCGGAAGGCTTGCACCTGAGGCTTCGCCGCTGTACTTTCGAACTCCTTGCCTACCAAGCAACACCCGAAGGACCCCAAAGGACCAGAGATCGACTTTCAAAGCAATTCCACACATATCACATATCTAACAATAGGTAGTGTAGCACTGTAGCATAGGACCTGTTCGGAAGAAATGATGCGCCAACAACTCTCGTGACAACTGGCAACTGGTAGCACATCCCTACGACAAAGCTTTGGAACTGGTACAATGTTTCTATATGTTTCGACTACAGTATTCAGTGGAACAGATGCCTCGTATGACTATTTAATCTTGACAAATTGAAATTGTTTGCTGTATTGCCAAGATTCTCGAGTATAGATTTAGTATACATATTGTGTAGGCTTGGGGTGTACACAACACTCCCACGAAACTCGCTACTGGACTACGGCAAGTCTCGGTCAGCACAGGAGGCCATCAAACAAACAATCGCTGACATCGCCCAGGGTCAAGTAATCAGTCACACATCTGGGTTGATGGCTGGTGGCTTGCAGCATCTAAAGCTTGCTGGAACTGATCGAAGAGGTCTGAGTGGCGAATTGGCAGTTTTGAAGCATCAGAGGTTGAAATCTAACTGGTTTCAACACCTGCACCTTTTCAGTTTTCAGCTCAGGGGCAAAACTGGGCCACTGCGGAATCCACAATGCAAAGTTCACCTTGACAATTTGAACGTCGCTAGCGCTTTATGCCACGAAAAACAACACCAAGATGTACATGATATGGATATGTCTGGTTTTCAAGATGCCGGGTGTGGACTACACACATGCCTTCGCACAAAGCAACAAAGACAAACTCTCTGACCTTCGCTGAACTCACACCGAAGGCCGGGTCCAAAGCCGACCTGCACCGTCCACCCCAACACAATGCCTGCAGCGATCCGGCCGCAAACATCAGCAGCCGCATGCAAGAGCTCTCCGTGCCGGAGCATCGCCAAAGGCCTTAGGGGGTCCGGTGGTGCAAAGGAGCAAGGGGCCTAGGAGGGCCTAGCAACATGAAAGGATGCCCAGCTAGGATTTAAATATATAGATTGATTATCATAGAGACTCATATTTACTTACTTGCTTTTGTAAGTGTTGAGTCTACGAGTCTCCCTTTCACTCACGAACAACTACGGAGAAAAAAACGTATAAAAAGAACCTTCTCTTCGTCGCTAGCTCTGCAGAAGCGTCGCTAGCTCTGCAGAAGCTTTGCATTTATTCTTGGAAAAGTCTTGGATTATTTCATGATGTCTCCGCGCGCAGCTCGGTTCTTCGTAGAACAGCATTGGAGAAATCTTGGTTTGCTTCAGAACTGCGTGCGCAGAAATCATGATATTCTCCGGACAGAAGTAGCAGTAGCAGTCACTTGCAGCCACTTGCAAGTGGCTGCAAGTGGCGGCAAAATGGAAAATCAAAATGCGAACCTCCTGCGAGCTCAATGGAACCTTCACTCATCGCTTCCCTCCAAACAAGAGAAGAGCCACATCGACAACCCTGCTGTGTGAACGGGGGCTAGAAAACAAGTACACCAGTGTCTAGGATCTTCTAGGTGAGTGCAAAATATCCCAATGTATTTGTGCGATTGTGCGGCTCCAGTCCCCTTTCTCAACCGCACAGAACTCACCAAGCTCATGGCACGCAATGCGGGTTGAAAAATGAGATCGAGCACCTTGACAACTTGGCCACAAAGTAATAAAGAAATGTCAGAAGCATTCATACATATATTCTCTCTCTAAATACGTATACACATGCATTAAAGAATGTTATATATTATATATATATTTGTTATTTTATATGTGAGGGCTTCACTGTCTCACTGCCGCACCAAGGCGCCTCATAGACATGGTTACTGCTGTGTATATATATATATATCATATATCGTTATTCTACCAATGTACAAGTTGTGGTAGCTATTGTAGTTACGTGCTACGGCTGCCAAGGAACTCTTTGGCCCAAAAGTGTTGGGCATCCTCCGGTGACATCTCCATCCTCATGCGACCCGATGGGGAAGGTCTTGTGGAACACACGACACCTGCACGCGTGTTTCACGCCACGTTCCAATCGACTGGGCTGACCGGGCGATGAAGAGCTGGTCACCAATCGACCTCCAAAGGCTAAGACCTGAGCGAGCGGCTGGCGAGTACCAAGTCATGGCGATCAGGTGCTTAAGCCGGCCCCGCACCACGATGGGTCAGCTTCTGATCAGGTGTTGGCATTAAGATCTGCCTGGTGAGGGCCTGATGGCTTCTGGCAAACCCGCTTTAGGACTAATCTCAGGCAGGTTTCATCTGAGGCCAATACAAGGACGAGGCATAAGATTCGAATCTTTGTAGCAAAGTCTTTATCCTGTTATTAAAGTTTCGTGGTACCCTCTTCTGCCCTGCACCGATTAGCACCAACTTGTGCTGCGCTGGGTGCCCTGACCCGGCCGAGGGTGCGAAGGAGGCTGGGTTGTCGCGGCACTGGTTCCAAAGCCTTCAGACACAAATTACAAAATGACTCAACTGACTCAACTGATAAACGTTTGTTACTTTGCTCTTGGCTTCTCAAATCTTAGATGTTTGATGATTTTGTGACCTACGAAGAAATCTGCTTAGCTCGATTTGCCACATGCATGTGTATGCATATTTATGCCTGAGGCTCCATGCAACACACGCGGCATCCATGTCACTGGTTGCATCCAAGACTTTTTCCTGCACAACGAAGGAAGACGACTTGGACCGGTTGGACCATCGACAAAACGACTTGGCCAGGCCCTGGTCTGCCGCTTCTCCACCGTCCTCAGGACCCAAATCCAAGTCCAAAGCCAAGATCACATCAACCCCAACACCTCCAGTCTTCCTGTGGACCTGCCAGAGGGAACTGGTGCAAGGGCAACTGACTGTGCAGCGTCCGTTTCTCGGATGTTCTTTTCGGCAGCTCATGCGCCTCCGACACGATTTCCTGTAGAAGTGTTGAGGTGTGCCGATTGGGCCCTTGCGTCCAGTCCTGATGCTCGCCAACAAACCCTCTTGCAGTTCCTTTCATGTTTGAACCGTGCATGGAGCATGGCGTGAAAACCGGCACTGAAAACCGATTAAAAACCGGTCCTCCACTGAGAAACAATGCATGTCTTTCAGGAAGTTCTCTGCGAATCCTGGGCCGCAGTTACTGGCAGATGTGGGAGTGACATCCACATCTAGTGCAGTCAAAGCGCAAGTCACTGGGTAGAACGGCTTTGTATCTGTTCGAATACACCCTGAAAGCTAAACATAGAACCTGAAAACCACTGGGTAGTAAAGGAAAGTAGCCTTCCAAAGGTCCCTTTTCAGGTTCCATATTAATCTTCCCCGGAGTCTTCCCGGGTGTAATGGTTCCACGGCTCTGGGTGGACTTTCAAACTCACAATCCTACCGAATCTCACTGCCTTGAAGAATAATCCACCTTTGGTTCATGGATGGACTCCCTGGCCTTCTATGAGTGGCTGAAGAAGTGGATGGTGCCTGCAGCTGCAACGAAACATGATGAACCATGGATTTCTTCGCCGCTGTTTCACCCATGTATCATTGTCTCATCCAGCACATTCATGTTTCTTCACTCATCGCTTGAACGAATTGTGGCGATCGCTGATTTCCACGCTCGGATCCCTGGGATTGCTGCTGCAACTCTTCCCGGCTCAGCGATCCCGAGAGCAAGACCAAGTACAGTGGGCCCAACCAGCTTTCACCTGGCACGACCGTGGGCACGACTGTGGGCACTACCGCAAAGTCTCCTGCGGTAGGGCCAATTGAATTCATGTTGAAACAGTTTTTCGAAGTCATTGGCCTTTTTCATTGAAGTCATTTGGATGAGTCAAGTATTATGGGAACTAAGCATCTTTGGGACAAAGAACTTGTCTCAAACTTCAATCAACCACCGGTTTGCAGCCAGAAACCAGGGCCTGCTGAGTTTTCGGCGCCCATTGCATACGCCGTTCAGCTGTTTGCGAAGGGAAGTGCACTTCCACCCACCCCCCGGCGCCGATTTGGGATGCCCAGCTGATGAGCAAACGCTGAAGGATGAAGATGGCTTGCTCCAAGTGTGGTGCAAGAAGCAGCAGCGCCTGCGACCACGGCGGCAAACGGCACCATACCACCCAAAACGCAACCCCACCTGGGAAGGTTGCAATCTCAGCTGCGAGCCCACACACATTAGAGCGCCTGTGACAGCACGACCAAGTGAAGAGGGCAAGTGAAAAGGGCAGACAAACTCTCTCTCACCA